TTCTTTCTTTTATTCATTTTCGTTTTTTTCTTTTTTTGGAAGTCAATGTCCAGACCTACTTTATATATACAATATCACGAGAGATTTTCGACATTCGTAATCCTTTTTTCATTTTTCTGCAAATTGGAACAAGATTGTTCGATCTTATCCGTTGTAAGAATGCTTCTCGAGGAGATTGCAGACGCAAGCGCCGGTTATCGAATTGAATGAATTAATTGATTGAGTTTGCAAAAGTAAACGAGGAAAGGGGAGAGCTTTGCGCAATATTATCAAGGATATAAATTGATTTAATCTACAGGATGATTAAGAAACGGCACTAAGACGGCTTCCGTTATACGACATGATTACATCAAATCCTGTTGTGGTCGCTTCAGAGTTTCTACCTTCCTTTGACTTAATATTAGATTTTGTACATACACAATATCACTTTTTCATACAAAGTATTCAGGATTGCAGTCCTTTATTTATAATTCCTTTGATTAATTTGAAATCAAATTTGCGAAATGTTTATATCTTCTGAATTATAAATGTGATGATTATAAAAGCGAGATTTTTCGTAAATCGAATTTTAAGAATGCAAATGAATAACAAAACTTTAATTAATATCAAATTGATTTTTTACTGGAACAGATTAATTAATTCGACGCTTAGTTACAAGGACGTCTAATTTTAACGTTAAAAAACGACAACCGTTAATCAGATTTTTGTTTATTTATTAAACATGTACGAAAACAATGTACAAAAGAATTTCTGAATCATAAAAGTGACGGTAATTTTGCGATATTTCGTATTTATTCCGCATAAGATAATAACTCAGTTAAATAATAATGAGTATTTTAATCATTCTATCTTTATAATGTAAAAGCATGAGTTTCCGGCGGCGCTCGAATAATTACGCCTATACATATGCAGAGAAGATGCTTACAATCTTTTACATTTATGTTGCTTAATAACGACATTTTTATCGCTCACGTGTTCCGCTTTCTTTTCGACAAGTTACTAACATTGATGTGTAAGAGCAAACTGATTTTTATATAACCGATAATAATTATGTTATACAGCTTTATACAGCTTAATTTATATTGTATATTATATATACATTATTGGATAATTTAAATTATATATCATATTAATATATGTTGTTTTGATGAAATAACTTTTTTTTTATGTTTTTTCATTCTTCATGACTTTCATTCTATTTTATATATAAAATAAAGATTAAGGCATATATCTATTTCAGTTTTTAAAATATATTAAAAAACTGCAATTATTTAGGATTACTATTTTTTTGTTAATGTGTAAAAATGTTACACTAAGTTATCTTAAATATTGACTTATATATAAGTATATTATATATGATAGAAACGTCTCGCGCGCGATATATCATACTGTTCTACTTTTTCTTATTAATTTTTTAAAAATATAAAAAATACATATAAATCGAGAGATATAGCACTATCGAGTATATTTGACGAATCGATATAGAGAAATTCTCTATAGTAGGTCACGCGACGAAGCGTGGAAGAGAACATGGTAGAGAGAGATGAATTAAACGATATGTCATAGAGCGAGTGAGAGAGTGAGTAAGAGAGGGGTAGATTTCTAATTACAGCAACTGTCCTTTTAAGTGAGATTTACTGCAAATTCCGCGTATTAATTGGCTGCCACCAGTACTGATTAAACGTATTGTTTGCCGATTCGCTATTGTCATGAAATTCGCGCTCTAGGACGTAACAAAGATGATAAAGCGCACGAAAATACATGTTATACGTTTTTTATACTTATATATGTGTGTGCATGCAATATGTATATATATACAAAATGTCTTTTTAATAGCAGATTCTCTGGCAAATATAAAAATGATCTTTTCTTAGCGAAAATCGAGTCGAGATATCAATAATTCTCGAATAATTGTAAAGGAAGAGCTTTTTGTAGAACTGAGAGCTTTTTGTTGAACTACATTTTGTAGAATTAAAATTACATTCTTTAGTTAATTTTAGCTAAAGTTTATATTGATAAAATTTTAATTTTCGGAGCTTATTGTTAGTCATAAAGATATATAATGGATAAATCATATATAATACATATTTTTTACTCATAGAGCATTTGATTATTCACGTTATAAGCAGACAGATAGTAATTTCACCGAGATGCAGCTAATGCAAATATATTTAAACATTAAACACAAGAACAATTCGTCCTTGCTCGTAGCGTGGAATTAAATTTGCAAGAACGATATAAAGCGTTAACGATATCACTTCACTTTCGAAGGCATGTGTTATCGGTTATTCGTTATTAAATGTAGAATTTATGTTTCCATTTATTATTCAATATTCCACGTGCCGCATTGATTGTGAATTATAGGATTCTATCAGAAAATTGATACGCATTGTAACACAGTTGAAGTTTAATATATTTTATGTTTAAGCTTCTGCGGATTATCTTTAAAGAGAAGAAATAAAAGAGAGAGTAGAAAATGAATCAGATATCAACTTGAACGTATGCATGTAGTGGGATCACAGGAAGAAACATTCAAGATTAAAGAATGCATTGCCACGTTTATCCTTTTATTTTTTATTTTAATCTATACCAATAAACAAAGGAATATTCATAACTTTCGAAATTCCAACGTTCGGCATTTTAGTAAAAACTAATATTCTGTGAAAGCGAATTCCGCATCTAAATGAAACGACAAATAGCATTCCATTATCAAACGCTTCTAACGCTTAATTCGCAAAAAACTCTCTTCATATGTTCAGTCATTTACAAAATTAAAAAATTATCTATTTCCCAATCTCTTTATGCGCTAACAAAAATTGAAACCTATATCCAAACTTCACAAAGAATGATACCGTGCGAGTGTCTATTTTTCAGTTTAATTCTGAGATATTTTGCATTGAAAGTCAATGACGTAGAAAACATAGAGTAGAGATAAGGTGAATTGAGGAGAAGACGAATAGTACGATGAAACTGATTTTCTCGAGGCAACGCGTTTTCACGCGCAATATCCTTGACAGTCCGCACAAGCGGTCGCTCAAGTAGCTGTATAATGAAAAGTGGCCGAGGCGCCACCGAAGAAATTCCGACGATCCTTTTTCTCGTTTACGCAGTTGTACGTCGATAGGAGGATTACATCCCGGCTACAAAGCTAGCTTCATAAAAAGCAATTAGCTACACATCGAGTAAAATAGTCCCCCTGCATGTGATCAGAATTCTTTTTTCTTATGTTAGTTTTACGTGACAAATATTCTAAAGATTTGATTGCGAGAATATATCCCCGCAGAATAAAACCGTAAGAAAACTTCTTTATTTCGATGAACCTTAGAACACGTAATATACATATATTAACGTAATATACGTTAAATTTTACAATAGATTTTTGTTGTAATTATAGCTACAACCTATTAATTTGAACAAATCGCATACGTTTAGAGTAACTGTCGTCGCTGTAATATTTAACGTAAATATAGAAATTGCTTCCTACATTAACATTTCCATTTTACATCATTTAAATTATTTTCTCGGGAATTAATTATTGAATAAACATTTTGAATTATGTTTTCAATTAATAAATCATCAAAATTATAATAACATAGTGCAAATATTGACCATTCACACATGTATAATTATATACATACATTTATATATTAAGATTTTTTTACACAATATCGTGCATTTTTTTAAAATATTTTTTTATCTTTTTTCTATATAAAAATTTTTTTCGCAAACAAATAACGATTTGGAGAAGAGAAATAAAGTAGAATACCGCGCTGATTGTTAAATATTGCTTCATTCAACAGAGGACCAGAGTGTGCAATAGCAAAAAAATCCGCTCAACTTTATAAACAGTGATACAGATAGAAACTTTTGCGAAATTTGTCAGGGGAAAAAAATTTCGCAAAAAAACGATCACGATTGTTTGTGTATTGCGCATCTGTTGATTACAAAAACAAGTTCCGGATTACTTCTAAATGACAAAATGAAAATCGCATGACACGACAGTTGAATGTGAAACGGAAGTGTAACGGAGCGGTAGATCGATTTCGAGCAGAGGTCCGGATTAGAACTCTCTTCATCAGTCGATCAAATACGAGCGGCTTATGTATGTACGTTAGTATACAGACATGAAAGCAAATTGACTAGCTCGCGCTTTCATACGGCATGCAAAGGGACGGTGAGGTCGAAGATGTCATCATTTGCAAACCGACAATTTACGGTTAAAGGGCGAATCTTGTCGAAGCGTTGCGCGCGCACACGATATCACATTTATATTGATTTGAAATCGCATATCGATACGCTGATACTGCACGATTCGACCCGCTTGCAGTAATAAATAATAATCATAACTTATATATACTTTTGTTGTCGTGCGTGTATCTGTTTCCGTAACACATCAATGTCAGACAAATTAAAGAGAGCTTTAATCCATTATTAGCGATTTTAGTATTTTGTCATTGAACTTGTCGGAAATCGTAGTCAGAAAGTGGACGTATACGGATATTCCTCTTACACGGTGACATCCTCTTACATCGAAATTACTTTTTGCGATAGAATTGAAGAATATAGAGAATATTTCTTTCTTTCGTTTCGTTTTATTTTTATTTCATCGTATCCTTTATTTTACAATAAGAAATATTCAAAGCAAGTAAATAGCAAAAATAATAAAGGGAGGACCGCGCGATTGGTTTTATTAATATTTTTATAAAATTTTTAAATCATAAAATATTATGCCAATGGAATCACAGCTACGCTATCTGGAATTTTCTCTTGGTCGTAAGAAATTTATTAACTTTAATACTTAAGCGGGATTTTTTTCTTGGATGAAATCTTTTTATAAATTATACACCCAATATTACATTATAACATTATTCGGTTTTCTTAACTGCAAGATACAATATATTATAGAACCTTACTGACTTATTTCAAATTTTTTTATTGTATCATATCGTATATATTTAACTTTGTCAAAAAAAAACGTATTTTTGCTTTGCATGTTACAGAAATCAATATGTCCACTACGGAATCGCGTGATGGTGATACGAGTCCGACACGTCGGCCAAGGTAAGAAAATGTCCACGTACAACTACATATTAATTGCGTACTTTTAAAAAGTATGCTGTGATAGTTTTATTCATCTTTGTTTCAATAAAAAAAAAAGAATGTAGTATAGTTTAATCTCTTTTGCTGGCAATTTCAAGTTTTGCTATATGATGTAATAATGAGAGAGAGAAGTGTCGTGAATTTTGTGGAGAGTACAATTCATACCCATCTGTAATTAATTTAGTATAAACTCAGCGGGGTTATTTAATCAGACGGCGTGCTTAATCAGATAGTGAATCTGTTCTTCTCTTCTCTCTCTCTCTCTTCCACTTAAATAACAACTTGCTGCGCATTAATTATAATAATGCGATTGTCCGAGCTTAATACCCGTGACGAGTTATATATATATATAAACGTGCGGTCGATGTATGGGATAATACTTTCACTGGAGATACAAACTTTGTTGTTGCATGGTGTGATAAAAAAAACCTATCGTAGTTATAACGCTTCAGCTGACTCAATTAAAAAAGGTATATAGAAAAAGCGATAATTAGAATATCTATATAAGTTTATATATATGTAGAGACAACTTTCACAGCTTTGTATATAAATATTTATACAAAGTTATGAAATCATGCAAAAAAAAGTATTTGATATTTGCATGTTCAAAGCGCGTTTTATCGGTTTAAGCGGTATTATTGCATAATGTAGGGCTGAAATATTGAAGAGATTAGTCGCAAATGTTATATAAACTGATAAAATATTTGAATTGAAAATATCAATTGCGTTTTTATAAAAATGCAAACACGTGAGAGATTAAAAATAATAATGATAAGAGATAATCTATTTTAACACCTTTAATACACTTGTCTTTATTTAGTCTTAATAAAATTAGCTCAACTTCCTCAGTTTCAAACGATAGATGAACCATTTCCAAATTTTTTATTGAACATATAACTGACCAGGATATTTAAAGACAAATGTTCAGTGAAATTCAGTTTATTTATATAATATATAATCTATTACTTATACCACTCCTATCGAACTTTTTTTCTTGGTATAAATTTCGAATATAAAACGCTTTGACCTGCAATTGCTGTTCGTAATCTTGTCGAATATCATGAACTCTATGAAAATCTGTGATTTTTGTCTCAGGATTTTTGTCTGCACAATAACAATATCCCTAAAATCTATAGTAGAACTTTGGCCGAGCCTGAAGGGATTATCTCTTGCCACTGCTTTTGCTAATCCCAATTCATGGGCGAAGGCTGAAGCCGACCCGAATCCTCTTGCAGAAGCAAAAAGAACAAAGCAAAGTTGAAAATAAAAACAAAAGGGAAAAGGGAAATAATGTGGCAATCAATCAAAGAAACACATATTTCAAATTTTTTATTTACGTTGAAAAGAATCGAATCTACGTAGAATTTAATTTTTAGGTACAATAATTTTAAAGCAATTTTTCAATAACGTAAATATATTAGGTCTACCGGAAAGTTCTGTCCGTTTTTGGAATAAAACAAAATACAAATTTTTATTACCGTCAATAAACTTTATTAAATAATGTAATTGCCATTATTATTAATGATTTCTTGCCAGCGTGAGGGCAATTTGTATATCCCTTTTTCGAAAAATGTTTTATCTTTTGATGCGAAAAATTGAACCAGTGTTTGTTTGATATCTTCTTCATTTTTGAATTTCTTGCCCCTTAAAAAATTTTGTAAGGACAAAAACAAGTGATAGTCGGTGGGTGCTAAGTCCGGGGAATATGGTGGATGCGACAGAATTTCCCAGCTTAGTTCTGCAATTTTTTGACGAGTCTCCAAAGCAGCATGTGGCCTGGCATTATCATGATGCAGTATGATGTTCTTCCTATTGTACATCGCCGGCCTCTTTTCTTGGACTGCTGTATTTAAATTATCCAGTTGCTGACAATACTTCTCCGAATAATGGCAATTACATTATTTAATAAAGTTTATTGACGGTAATAAAAATTTGTATTTTGTTTTATTCCAAAAACGGACAGAACTTTCCGGTAGACCTGATATAAGAGAATATTAATATATTTATAGTTTGAAGTCTTGATACGTATGCCTATATAATAGATCACGTAAAATAATAAAAATATTAATCTTTACATAACACATTATATACCGCGAAATATGCAAAACGTGTGTATTAAAACTGACCTCCATTTCAAGTTATATGTAGCGCATAAAGATATGACTTGAAAAGTTGTTTTTAAACAACTGTATTTTTCAAGCAGCGCATTCGTAATCGATATTATGTATACAATGGCCTTGATAATAAAATATTCATATTTATTTTATTGAGCTGTTATAAATAATAAAAAAGAAATAACTTTGTTTATATGCGCGTACGTGTATGCGTTGTGTGGTACACGTGCACTAATCAAAATGTTAAAATATAAATAATAAATGTACGTTTTCAAATAAATTTTACATTTAACTAATTTTTTATTCATGATTACCCGAGAAAAAATTGTATAATAGAGTCAGATGTACAATATACATAATTAGTTACAAAAATATCTTATAATATATGTAATTTTATATAATCATATATATAATAATATTTTATTATTTGCAATATAAGATCATATTCGACTAGATCTGTTTTCATATATGTATAATCAGATTTAACGAATATGATTATCTAAGATAAGATCATATTGCGATAAATTTTGAATTTGATTATATAGGATCTTATATAATTACATAAGTCCATTTTTTCTTGGGTAATATGAAAATGATGTATTATCAAAATACATAGAATCGCGCATTAACAGAATATAAAAATGATAAGCATTAACAGAATATAAAGTGAGCTTTTGTCGTCACAGAATCCATTTATTTATAAATCATTGATTATAATAGTAAATATCATTATCGTACAATTTAACCAGAAATAATGTACATATTACTGATTATAACAAAAATTTGTGTTTTTATTCTATAATATATGAAGTAACTATATATCCATTCTTTACCTTTAATATGCATTCATTACTTCAAAGAATCAAACACTACTTTAAACATATAAAAATAATGATAAACATATATAATTGAAAAATAGCATCTTAAATACAAGATGGTGTTAATTTTCGTAACATTATGCTACACACAAATTTTGCAATAAAGATACAATACTATAAATTTAAACATGTTATTTATTTTTTATCATGTAATAGCAAAATAATTGTTTATAATTTATAATCATTAGATATATATTTTAATGTTTCCTTTGAAAATATACATATCAATGTATGTCTCCGGCATAGTTCCTCCGTATTTACCAAGTTAGTGACTTATTTATGTACGCTTGTACTGTTTCTGCCAGCCATGGATTAGATTTTATTTTACTTGATATGTGCATCGAGTTGTTGTACATCTAAATAACAAAAGATTATTTTGCTTTAACTCTTATTGTTAGACAGTAAACAGTGCGACAGCCGCACGTATGGCAGACTCTGGATTAATTTTGACTTATAAAAAGATTTCTTTTACGCATCTCATTCAATATAAAATTTTATATTAAAATTAAATTTAATTAGAATTTAATTTTATTAAATTGTTAAATTATTATCTTTTTTTTCAAAAAATGCTGCTCGTACATTATCATTAAAGGAAAAATATATTCCCAAAATAAAATTAAATTAAATTAATTAATATTTTTATTGTAATTTTATACAACGTACATATGAAATGTTTGTTTTTATATAACATACACATACATTTGAGCTTTTACAAAACAATTTTAAGATATGGATCATGAATGACGGATATTATATTCTTATAATTGCGCTCATAAAGCGTAATTTTCTTTCTGTCTGTACTTACAAATAGGGTACAAATGCGTACTTACCGTTTCCCAGGCTAGTTGTGTCCAATAGAGCCCCTAATAAAAATAAATAATTTTATTACATGTAAGAAATTATATGTCCAATAAAAAGCGCGTTTTCTACACACATTCAACAATTTATACAATATTTTAAAATATTTCATTGTATGTGTTATTCCGTAAAGGGAGAAAGAAAAAACATAATAATATAAATATTTATCGCTATGAATTACTAAATTTCATAATGATAAGGTTCATATTTTTTGGGTATTTTTACATGATTTTATTGAAGAAAAGATCAAGAAAGATAGAAATCTATACTGAATTAAGGGGTCGAATTTTCCGTAAAAATACAATTGTAATTAATATAAGATAGTTTAGAACCACTTCAACATGTGGAAGATTTCGACACTTTTATAATTTAACATTATTAAAGCTGAAATCTCAAAAACGCTGATAGCTGAAGCATTTTTATGATAACGAATGGACAAAATTGGATTTCCACAATGTTGTAGAGAATGTCAAAAGAGTAATTTTACTATTATGGTCCTAAAACGGTGTGACAATTTTCGTGCTCGCAGAGAAACGAAATTTTATATGCGGAAATTATGTACATATTGCTTTATTTATTTATATAATAGTATTTTTATTTTGATTTTAAAGATTTTTATTTTATTTAAAAAAATATTATATTATTTCGAGCATTGTACGAAAAATGCTCGCAATTTTTTCCGATGAGTGTCCAGATCTCCCTTAATGAAATAAGAAGAAAGCAGTTTACTTTATAACTATCAAGCCAATTTACTTTTAAGCACCTGTATATTACGATCTCTTTTTATCTTTTTGTATAAAATATAAAAAGATTAAAGTAGTTCTAATAAATATATATATAATGGATATATATATAATGAATATACCCATAATGGATATATATATGATAAACATATACATATAAATACATAAATCAGTTCCTGAAAATTAAAATACTAATTAGTTATATAATTCAAATATATTATTTTTAAGTTAGTATATCGAAACGTCTCTAAAACATCTTTAAATTCTGTAAATCGATATATTGGATTGAGTAAAAATCTTCTCGTTTTTTGAAAGAAATTTGAAGAAGAGAAGATCTTGTATAAAACTTTAGAAGATGAGATGATTTTATGTATAAAACTTTATTAAACAATGTATATTAAAAGGAAAAGAGAGAGAAAGAAAGAAAGTCCCATTTTATCCGATTATTTTCTATCATCTTTCAAGTATTTTCATCCTAGTGATAAAATCGATATTAATAGTAATAAAGCCGAAAATACACACTTCTTATTCTTTTCCACTTTCAAGCTAATACCATACGATCTAAACACGATCTTTACTCCTTTTTTTTTGAACGACGCAATGAAACGTCAACAAATGTCAGTTTATGTATGCGCATGGGAAACTGGAGATAATTGTAAGTTAATCACGTAAAGCGATGCTACAGCTATCTTATGAAAAAAAAAAAAAAACGGAAAGACTTTTTGATCAATCCAATATTTTTAGCGAGAGACGCGATTAAAGTTATCATGATTGCTCGGGATATACTGCTAATTTATTAAAAAACTCTGAGTACAGAGTTTATAATTAAAGCTTACGCCAAGAAGAGTTGGTATGCCTAAAGCAAATGCTTCGACGGTTTGCTCAGGAGTGGCTGGTTTCGCAGGTACTTCCCAACTTTCAGAGGAAGAAGAAGAAGCATCAGAAGTAGTGGTTGCTCTCGCTTCTACTCTAGGACCGTGCACGATTGCCATAATATAGATTATAGCAAGCGCTAATGATAAGCACAACAATCGCATTCTGTAGCGCTTACTGACACTCAAGTTACGTTAACCTACACGTTTCTGAGTTACTGACTCGGACGAGCAGCGTTTACATATATATATATACTAAAAATGCGATTAACATTCACAGTTTCGTGCCTAGAAGGGGTACTTATATTCTTTATTACAATTATACATTTTATCATAGAAATATTTTTATTTTTCTTATACGACATTAAAAGAATATAGTATATATATAATATACGATGTATATATTATAATGAAAGATGTAAAAAGGATGATTTTACATGAGAAACGGCTTGAGTAAAATGAGAAATATTATTTAGATCTTTTAGTATATTTAAAGTAATTTTTCAAGCACGATTATTATTGCGTATAAAATAGCTTTGATTAAATATATATATCTGCTTTTACTGAAACGCGAATTTTACGAGAAATAATTTTTTGCCATCATCAAAATGTAAAGATATGATGTGAAGTAATAATAATAACAATAAATATATAACACATATATGTAGAATCGTTTGATTAAAAATTAATATATTATTTTATATTTTATATTATATATTATATTTTATCGAATACGTTTTACATTTTGATTGTATGTATAAGAAATGCGATTAGCAATCACAATTTCTAAAAAAATTAATTATTATTTTTCATTACACACTTGTATATACTTTGTCATGGAAATGTTTTTATCTTACGCGAGAAATATATGACATTGAAAAAGTGTAATATTCGGTGAAGGCTATGTATGCAATAAATTGTTGATATGTGAATATCGTAATACTCTTTGATACGCAATACATGAACATTTTTAAAAGCAGATACACGAACTTTGCAGTTATAAGATAACATAACGATTCCTGGAAAATAAAGCCGCAATGTGTCTTTCTGTCTAGATAGACGCATGTCGGTATAAAAATTACTAGAGATAGATATTTGTAAAATAACGCGGAGCTATATAATATTATTTCGTCGTGCGTAACTTTAATGTTCGGCGCTCGAGGTCTTAACGGCCAACATTGCGATTGGATAATCCAATGGCCATTTCAATGTCTATTAATCTCTACGACTTGGAGACAGCAACAATTTACGAATATCTATGCAATTTACTAAGTATAATATCCGAGAAAGGATGCGAAGTATGACATGTATGTTGTTTCCGCAAAGCAAAGATTACTTCGACGACTTGTCAAATTACGATAATATTATAATTCATGTGCATTTAAGAATTTCCACATTATTTATCTTTTATATTCTTTTTAGGTGTTTGTGGTAACGAGATAATAAATTGTTTAAAATAATTGCTTATTAGTAATAAGGAAGAACTATCGATCGCAATAATTGTCAATGTAAAGATTATTAATTATTAATTAATTATTTTTCTTTAATTTAAATTATTTTATTAATTAATTAAAATTGAAAGGAAGATGACTAAGTTTCAGCGGTAATATATTTTGTATTTCAGGGAGAGCAGAATCCATAGCGTTAGTCTACCAGCTAGAACTTCAGTGCTTCCGCAACCACCGCCCACCGGAAATGATATGCCGCCGCCAATACCACGTCGACATTCTGCTACTCCGGCGGTAACAAATTTTATTTATTTCTGATCATTGTCTCGTAAATTAATAAATTCAGTTTAAACGCGATTTAGATATCGTATTTTCATTATTCATCTTATTTAGAATGTATCCGTTCGAGATTAAATGTGATTTGCTTTAACAAATCTTGACAATGTTCTCCAAGATATCTTACTCAGCATGTTGTATAAATCGTTTAATATATTTATTATT